TTGGCCTGGTGATGGGTAGGAAAGAGGGCACGTTCTGCGTGGAGCACTGGGTGCTCACTGTTATGCACAAACAATGAATCATGGAACACTGCATCAAAAACTAATGATGTAATGTCTGGTGATTAACATAACAATAAAACAATAAAAAATTTAAAGAAAAAAAAGAATGAGAGAGTATCTCAGAGAATTCAGGGACAAGACATAGTCCTTTAGTGAAATGCATCAACACTGATGCTGTGGTAACTGCCGTGGCTAAGTGTCCGTGGGAAGGAGGCCGAGACATGCTTCCACGGTGCGGCCCAGATCCAAAGTCTGGGAATGCGGGATTTATTTCTAGTTAACTTTGTTTTTTATTGTTGGTGATTTATTTTAGAGGCCCTTTTGTATAATGTTTGACATAGTATGCACTTAACAGATGTTTGTGGACTGAGTTGAAATTAGACTCTGTTCTTGAGCATGTTGTAGGACTTACTTCTGCTGAATTAGGCCAAAGAGAAATGTTATTGCCCTGTCTCTTGAGACAGGAAATGGGTACTTAAAGAGATAGTACAATAGTGTCTCTTTTTGTGGGGAAATAGGAACCGGATGATAGAATACTTGAATTTTGGGAATGGAGGCCTCTCATTTTCCAAATAAGTTCAAGAGAAGTTAGTTAAACTTGACAAAGTCAGCGGCGAAGTTTGTTTCAGAATCACGTTCATAGGAATCTTGACAAAGTCAGTGGCGAAGTTTGTTTCAGAATCACGTTCATAGGAATCTCAGGCCATTGCTCTATTTACTAAACAACAATCTCTTCCCTGCAAAATAGTTGAGTGAATTTATTTATTGTGGATTCAAAAGTTAGACCCAAGTACTGATAAGATTGGTTTTAACCTGGAGAGAGATCACAGAAGTCCTGGACCTTCTCTCATTCAACATCTTCTTCAACAACTTGGGTAAAGACCCATGAGAAATACTTTTGAAATTTTCAGGTGTCATAAACTGTAGTACCTATAACCTACTACATTGACCTAGAGAGTTAGGATTCCAAATTCTAATTAATAGGCTAAAAGACAAAAATTTACAGGAATAATCAGAAAGTCCAGTGTATACATTAGAATATGTAGTTAAGTACATGAAGGGAAAATTTTGGCTTTGTAGAAGTTCATAAGAAAAAGGCCTGCAATTTTATAGAAGTCATTGAATGTGCAAAGGAGCTTTAAAAAAATGTTTATATAGTTTTGGATGCAAGAAGATAGAGGAAGCAGGCTGGGTTGTGGATGAAGACGTGAGGACAATTTGGAGAAAGTCCTAAGACAAAACTTGAAGCTGTGGTGTCTACATCTTTTCCTAGAAATCAAGAGAAGCCAGTGCATGGCTTGTGGGTAACCCTAATAAACTGGAATTTGGTTACTCTTGGTAAAAAAAAAAAAATAAATAATAATAATAATACAAAAGTTTACCAAATTTTTAAATTAGGGAAGAAGTCAGGGGCGCCTGGGTGGGGCCATCGGTTGAGCGACTAACTCTTGGTTTTCTGCTCAGGTCACGACCTCAGGGTCGTGAGATCGAGCCCCACGTCGGGCTCTGCGCTCAGCATGGAGTCTGCTTGAGTTTCTCTCTCTCTCCCTCTCCCTCTGCCCCTCCCACTCATGCTCTCTCTCTCTCAAATAAATAAATAAAAATAAAGAAATAATTGTGGAAATCACTCAAAATAACTGTTACGGCTTAGCATCTGTAAGGAAGTGGGCCCCAGCCCTAAACCCTAGAAAGATGGTGCCCCCTCCACCACAATGTTGTTACAAGTCAGAGAACACCTCAAGATAAAACACAAGCTGTAAGAAGAGCAAAAAAATCCAACCAAGTTCTGATTTTTCCTACAAGTGTTACTTTGGTTCTTTAAACAATTTTTGAAATGTCAAAGCCTTTCCAATATTTCTTTTTCTTTTGGGCCAGTGCTCTGCGGTGCCCTCAGCACGTGGCAGGTCTGTCTGCTGGGTCACTCCTAGGCTTGGCCATTCCCATGGCGGGGGTGGGGGGGTGTTCTGCTGCAGGGGGGGGGAGCCGGAGCCCACCCTGCTGTCCCCACAGGGATGGACAGGGCTGATGGAGGAAGGAGGTGGAGGGCCCTGGGACAGAAAACCATCTTTGCAGGAGCTCAGTATTACATTTGCTCATCTCTCATACTCGGGGGTCCCCACTTGAGTTCCGCCGGCAGGAGAGGACCCCGTGGCCCACAAGAACGCATCTTAGAAGGAGGGGGCTGTGGCGGCTCACGGGGCTCAGGAGCAGATCGCTGCGGTGGACGCGGGAGGGCTGGAGCCAACAGAGCATGTGGCCCCCTCTGAGGCCTCTCCCGTACCCCAAGGCCAGTTGGGAGTCTTGGGGAACAGTTATTAAGGAGGCTAGGGCTGGGCACCCGGCGTGGGCAGCCCCGCCGCGGGGACACCGCAGGACACACAGGCCACGGAGGGTATGCACCTTGTTCGACAGCGACCCCACGTGGCAGCAGGCCGAGCGGTAGCTGGTGGGCTGCCCGTTCTTCTCCATCTCCTCCCTGCCAGATGTAGAAGCAGGATTCCTGTAACATTCAGGAAGAGGAGGCCTGCAGAAAGAAGGATTTGCTGGGTTCCCTAACGTGCAGAGGGATGCTCGAGGAATTAACTGGGAAACAAAGAGAGGGTTCCATATTTGTGCCTCCAGGCAGGTGAATTGGGCAGTGGCTGCCCCAGATCCCTGCCCTCCTCCGTCTGCGGCCGGGGGAGGCTTGTCCAGGCTGCTGAGGGGCCCCCTCCTGCCCTTTGCAGGTGCTGTGCAGATCTCCGTGACCCTCAGTGCCAGGCCTGCTTGTGGGGTTCCAGGGAGGCAGTAGGGGCAGGGTGTGGGGGGCAGCCTCCTGTCTGATCCTGATTCTCAGGTCCTGATGACTCTGTGGGAGGCACCTGAGGTCCCTCCCTCTGGGTCTCAGTCTCCCCTGATAACAAAGCTGTGACCCAGGAGTCTCCCCACCATAACACACACACTGGCAGCTGAGGAAGCACGGTGCCTGCCGGGTCCCCAGCCTCAGTGCACGTGGGAAGTCCACGCTGCCCACGGTTCTATTGGCTTCCAGCTCCAAAGCAGGAAAGGCCGGACCTGTGCCAAAGGCTGGGTGTGTGAGCCTGTCCCTGGCTCCAGGCCCAGGGCAGAGTGGGCCGTGGGGGCCACGCAGGCCTGGTTCCCAGCCCACCCGTGAACCTGGCTCCATGGCCCCTGGGCCAGGCCCTCGCCTCTCTGGGCCTCAGTTTGCCCCAAGTCCCCACAGCTCTCAGCCTGGCTGAAGAGTTCGATAAAGTCCAGGACTTTGGCCACAGAGTCCTCATCCTGGTGAATAGGTCTGCCCGCAGCACGCCCTGAGGCTGGGGTCCCAGCTCCAGGACTGGGGACTGGGAGGGGAGGGGTCAGGCTGGCGCCCCCAGAGGGCCCCAGGCCCCGGCCCCGCCCTTCTAGGCCCCGCCCCCTCATCCGTTTTTTCCTGAGGTCACAACCCACGCATTCTGTCCTTGGCCATGGAGGCCAGGGTGTAAGTAAACCTTCTGCTGGGGTTGGAAGGGGTGGGGCAGAGCCCCACGCCTACCTGGGAGGCATGGGGAGGGCATGGAGGGCGCACAGGGCACCACCCACCCCAGCCCAGCCTTCTCCACCCTCTGACAGAAAGCAGGGAAGGAAGGGACCAGAGAGCCTGGTGGACTTGCAGGTGGCAGGCCCCCCAGGGACTGACGCCCAGAGAAGGGGATCCAAGAGGCAGTGGCACCATTTCAAATGACCCCTTCCCCACCCTCCCTCCCTCTGCCTTCTGGGGGGCAGGGCCACCTGTAGGTGGTAGCCCAGGTGCTTGACAGAGATGTTGTGAGCGGCTTCCGTGATAAGACAGGTGCCCGTGTTGGCCATGGTGTTGTGCAGGTCAAAGACAAAGTTGAAGGCTGGCCTGAAGCCTTGGGCCGCAGCAGCTGGTTCAGCTCTCCAGCCCCTGTCACCTGGTATGGATCGGCCACGTTGGCCCTGGCACTGCAGGAACAGGAAGGGGGTATCGACCCTTTCACAGTCTCAGTCAGGGAACAGGGGTTTAATGAGAGGGCAGCCTCATGCTGCGCGCAGGAGTGACGTCCCCAAGACCCTGCAGGAGAGACAGAGCAGCTCAAGGGCTCTTCTGCCAGGGCCGTTCCTACCCTGCTTAGGGCCCTTGCTGGCTCCCCACTGGCCTCATCAAGTCCAAACCCTCAGCCCAGCCCTACCTGCCTGCCCGCCTGCCCCATCAGCTTTCACTCCAGCCGCACTTCAAGGCCTTCGCACATGCTGGGCCCTTTCCTGGAATCTCCTCTCCTCTCTTTACCTAGTTAACTTCTACTCACCCTTTGGGGCTTGGCTGAGATGCCACCTCCTCCAAGAAGCCTTCCCTGGCTACCCGTGGCCACGTTAGATGCTTCATGTTGTCCCCACCCCTACATTTAGCCTCCTGGGTTGTGGTTGCTGGGTTCTTCCTCTATCTCCCCCAGCAGGCTGGGGACAACACTTCTGTCTTATTCCCCATTTTTTCACCTGAGCTGGACAAAGCCTGGCTCAGAGGTGGGGCTCAGCGAATACCTACTAGAGGAAGGTGTGAACGGTGGTGGGGGTACAAGACAGGCAAACACAGCCTGTGGGGCTGATCGGAGGTGAACCTTGGGTCTGGGGAACTCAGGAGCCCCTGACCAGCTGGGGTCAGAGCGGGCTTCCTGGAAAAGGTGCCATCAGTCTGGATTTTTCTGAACCGGAAAGGGAAGAATGGGCATCTCGGGCAGAGGATGTGGCCTGCTGGTGGCTGAAGGGGCCGGTCTGAGGCGCGGACTTCAGTCCTGGGCAGGGCCGCCCAGCAGCGAGGACACTCCAGGTGAGGAAGGTGCTGGTGAAGGTTGAGGTCACGGCCCTTGTAGTGGCGGCGGGCCGCTTGGGCCGCCGGCTTGGCCAGCACGGGCATGGTGCAGACGCTGAGTCTCTGCAGCTCCCCCGGAGCCTGCAGCCAGCGCTGGGTCCCACCTCTGAGCCCCAGGAGCCAGAGGGGGGCCCCCGGCCCTGGTTGGCTCTGACACCCATCCCTGACGAGCTGTGTGACTTGGGGAGATCCAGTGCCTTCTCTGGGCCTTGGCTCCTGCCTGTGGAACGGGAGTGAGGCTCTCTCCCGGCCTAGGAGGAGCGAGGGAATGAAGAGGCAGTCACGAGCTGGGCAAACACACGGGCACCGCAGACCTCGGCCTGGCCAAAGGCAGGGGCACTGGGAGGGGTAACGGGTTCCACTTCCTCACTACAGCTGGGGAAGGAGAGGCCCAGAGAGGAGTCAGAACCTGTCGGGGGAGGAACGACACGGTGTGGCTTCTCTTAATGACCTACTCTGGACTGACCTGTTACCACCGCGGATCCAGCGCCGAGGCCTGACGTTGCCCCCTGAGCCTGAAGGGACCCTGGTGCTGGAGGCGGGGGGAGGAGCAGTAAAGTATCCCCCAAACTGAGAAGGCACTTTGAGGCCAGAAAACGAAGCCGGCCACCCCACACAGTTTACTCAGGGTGACTCCCTGACGGGCCATCGAGCGGACGATGGTCCTGCTGTGCGGTTACTTTCCGCGAAGTCTGGACCTTAGTCCGCGGATTTCACACAGCGAGGGCGGGCCCAGGAGGACACCGTAGTGCCCGCAAAGGGCTCGTGTGCACCTGACAGCTGACCTTTAACGAGATCATGTGGTGCCACCTGTGCCTCGGGAGGGGAAAACACCACGTTATCTCTAACAGATTCATGGGAGGCCAAAGCCAGCCTGCCCCGATCCGAGCCTTGGCGGGTATTTCTAAGGTAGGGGTACTGACCTCCGAGGGGCCCAGAACACGTGCCCCCAAGAGAGGTCATCGAGCGGATGCGAACGAGACGGAGGCCAAGGCTGGCTCAGTGTTTTGGGTGCTCTTACTCCTGGGACCACAGCTCAGCCTCGGGGCAACAGGACTCTGGTGCAGCTCCCGGGAGTCTGGGTTCCACTGTGCCCCAGAGTGGGGGTCCCATTTAACCCTCACGCCAATTCTAAGAGGGAAGTGGGAACCCCGTTGTAGAAGAGAAAGGAATGTAGACCCCGAGAAGTCGAGGGGACAGGCCCCAGGGCACCCGGTACCGCTGTGGCCCGGAGCGATGGGGACCCGGCCCTCTAGGTGGAGGAGCGGCTGCAAGAGGGTGGGAGATGCAGACCCCAAGTGGAGCTGGCAATGGGGCTGAGGTAGAGGGAGGGCGCCCTGGGCAGAGGGAACAGCTGAGCTGAGGCCTGGACAAGTCCCAGGCTCTCTGAACAGCTCTGCATTGCTGGGTCATAAGCAGCAGGACAAAACTTTCTCCATGTCTGGATGGCACTGTCTCTGGCCTGGGCCTGCGCAGCCGTGCCCGAGAGAGGAACACGGGGGGACCTGGGAAGGGTGGAGCGAATAGGGGGTGCTTGTGGCCTCTCTCGGACCCACCTCCCCAGGTTAGAAGTGGAAGGTGGGAGGCAGACTCTTGGCAGACAGGAGGCAGTCACGCGACCCTGCTCCACCAGTTAGAGGCGAGCGAGAGTCTCGTTCTGGGGCTGCTCTCGCCCCAGAGCGGCCCCCCAGAGCCACATTTCCCTTGGAGGCTTTGTGCCCGATCTGAACCCCAACAACCGATGGCCAAGAGGGCAAAGAAGGGGATGAGATTGGTGTGGTGAGGGCAGCAAAATCCCCTGAGAGTCTTCAATGAGCAGGTTCTTCTGTTCTCTGCTCGGCGGCCCCACTGCCCAGACTGTGGCCCGGAGCCCCGCTGATGCTTCTCGATCCCTCGGGCTCCCTTCTCAGTCCAGGGCTTATTCTGAGGAAATGACTTCCTGGGGCAAGGGTGGGGAGGGAAGGCATCTCTAAGACCCAGGCCCTTCTACCTGGGCCACCTACCCACTCATCAGTTCACCCATCTGCCACCCAACTGCCCATCACCTCATCCATCCATTATTGGGGAAGGTCATGGGAAAATGGGATTGCGGGCTGAGCCATGCACTGGCCCCGGGCACTCCGAGGCTCCTCACCCCCCCCCCGCTCCCCTGTCCTTGGAATGTGGGTTCGGCCTGCCTTTCCCGCTCCCAGAGGCTGCCCCGAGGACATAGCTGTGAGATGGACGATGGCGTGATGTTGAAAACCAGCACGGTCTTCTTGACTGTGCCCAGTTAAGGCCTCTTTCTCTATAAACTTTGAAGATTTGGCGGGCAGCGGGGGTGCCCACCCGTCTTGCTGCTACCCAAGACACGTCTCGTTTGTAAGGTTTGTAAGTCCGGGGCCGGAGCCAGAGCCTGCAGGTCCAGTGGGGAAGTGGGACTTGCTGAGGTTGGAGAAGGGCCTGCGGCATCCCCTGCTCAGCGGGCCTTAGGCCAGTAGACGAGCTGGGGTGGGTGGGGGGAGCTCAGCATGCTGTTTGCAGAGCTGGGAGGGTGCAGGCTGCCCCAGGGGAAGACCCGGCCCCGTGACAGCCTGCCTGGGGTGCTAAGAGGTGGAATCTCTGCAAAAGGGAGGGAGATGAGGAGGAGAATGTTGTGCCACTTGTCTGAGCCCTCACATCAAGAAAATTTTTAAATGACCCCAGTGGCCCCAAAAATCCTAGGAGAAAACTTGGCGTTCTTTCTCTGTCCCCTGTGTGCTGGGAAAACGGCCAGGCTTGAAATGTGAACACCCCAGGAGAGAACCAAAACATCAGCCACAGAGACTGAAGGCAAGGAGGAAAGTAAGAATTTAAAATACAGACTACTGGAGAGGCTCCTTTGGCAGGTGCATTATACTGAACCCTCATTTGTATTCCTGCAAAAGTGCTTCGTCTTCCAGGAGATTCTTGGAAAAGACTGGCAAGTAGAGGTTTCTGATAACTAAGATCATGTGGGAGGGAGCATGATGAAACTTTCAAGCGCTCCCCCAAGGCTACCTGCCTAACCCCACGATCTGTTGTGGGGTGGCAGCCGGGGACCTGTCCCTGCCCTCCTTCCCCACATCAGTGAAATGGGCCCTTTCCGTTAATGATATAATGTTAGCAAGGGAAGATTTGCCTCTGCTGCAGGACACCCTGCAGGCTTTGCGGGAACATCCGCAAAGGAGAGGATGGGGCTAAACCTACAGAAAACCCAAACCCCAGGCACTGCTGTAAGGTTTTGGGTTTTGACTGATAAGACTCAGGTTGTCCCCAAAGCTGTAATTGAGAAGGGGCAAGCCTATCCAGCCCCTATGCATGTGAAGGGGGTGCAAGGCTTTGTAGGGATTTGGGGGTTTGGGATGGCTTTTAATACCCTCCTGGCATAGTGCCTCTGTCCCTTATGTCACCTGGTAAAGAAAAGGCACCTGTGGGACTGGGGACCAGTGCAGCAAGCCGACCTTGAGAAGGCAAAATACTAGTGAAGCAGATTAAAGCTCTGGGCATCTCCCAGGCAGGGCTGCTGTCTGAGTTAGATGTGTCTCTGCCTCTGGAAGGTATGAGCCAGGCACTGTGGCAGGGTGCACAGAAAGGGACAATGCCCTGAGGGTTTGGGTCCCAGCTTTGGAAGAGGGAGGAAACCCAGCGCCCCCGGAGAGCACCTGGTTCCTGCCTGTGTACACGGTGCTCCTCCAGGTAGAGCCCCGCATGGCCGCCGGGCACAGCGGCTGGCAGGCTGAGCTCAAAGCAGTCCGGCCAGTGATTACACATGAGCCATGGCCTTTCGCCCTTTGCACTGACAGTGAGTTGTTCGAAAGGGATTAACCTGACGGCTCCGACAATGGGAAGCTGAGGGAAGAATCAGGAATGAGGCTTTGTGGGGACAGGATCTGTGGAACGACATTTGGGTTCACCTGCAAGAGCCTGAGGCAGTCTCTCTGGTTTTCCTGCCTCGGTGCATAAGGCACAAGCCCTCGCAATCCAGAAGCTGATGCTCCAGCTCGCAGCCAAGCCCTAGCGACTGACCCTGGAGTGGATCGGGCCAACTGGGTACAGGAAGAGTGGCCACCACAGTGCCCCAGCAGGATGGCATTCTGCCAAGGATGCCTGCTTGCCCTTAGGTACAGTGACATGGTTACTGCAGTAATAGTAGGTCCTGTGTGCTCTAAGCAACGCCCAAGACAATTGCCAGAAATCTGGGGCCATCCACCAGAGTTCCCAGCCACTGAGCGACTGGCTGATTGATTCTGTCAGCCCCCTCCCTCTATATATGCCTTGGTTTGTGTGGACACTGCGTGTGGCTTAACCCAAGCTGTCGCTCGTTGCCATGCAGACCAGGGAACTAGAGAAACTGACCACCATGTGGAGATGGCTTCATTGACTAGACGGTCAGTGGGGGCCACATGTCAAAGGTCATGGTTTGCCAGACCAGGCGATAAAGCGTGATACCGAATGGAGGTCCCATCCCCCCTCCAACCCGCAAGCAGCAGGGTTGGTAGAAAGGGGAAAGTTGAGTATTAAAGCTGCAAATTCAATTTTTTTTAAATTTTTTAAAAATTTAAAGAAACTTGGTAGTTTCTTAAGATTTATTTATTCATTTGACACAGAGAGAGAGAGAGAGAGCACAAGCAGGGGGAGCAACAGACAGAGGGAAGGGAGAAGCAGGCTCCCCACTGAGCAGAGAGCCAGACACGGGTCTCGATCCCAGGACCCTGGGATCGTGACCTGAGCCGAAGGCAAAGGCTCAACAGACTGAGCCACCCAGGCGCCCCTCAATTTTATTGAGTGTTACACCTCAATAAAAGTTAACAATGATACCTGATAATAAGGATGATGATGGGTGCTTGGGTTCTGGGCAGCATCTCCTTAGACCCTAACCTCACTGCCTTGTAATTACTCATTCACAGGACCACTAAGGCACAGGGGTCCTTTTCTGCAAAGGACTGGAAGTGGGAACACAAGGCTTGCAGAGAAGGGGCTCCGGGCTGGCACCCGGCACCGGCCTTAATCGGCCGACGCACTAACACTGTGTCAGCAGCGTGTCTGGGGCGGAGGGCACTGCCCAGCGCCTCCCAAAGGTGTGGATGTGCCTCCGGCCCAAAGTGGGGGGCAGCGGCTCCCCTGAAAGCAGCAAATTAAATTATTAACAGGTGAAACCACCTCGGCTGGGTGAACTAAAGTACTGTCCCAGGTCTTGATGCACTGAAATAACCTACCAGTAGGGCCTATCGTCCCATATGCCAGACTGGGGACCCCCAGTGAGGCCCCCAACACGGCGGAAGTAGAGAAGCAGTGGGAGACAGCCATCACCCCGACTCTCACCGAAGATCGACGTGCTCTGCTGCTGAGAGCACCCAGCCCCATTGCGCCTGGGAGAGGAATTATCTACTGGGATTTACAGTGGGCCGCCCCTGTCAGAATGGGTGAGTTAGTTCACACCCTGGGTGAAGGGGACCCACTCAGTTTCCCCCAGGATCCCCTTGTCCTGCTGCAAGCCGGACCCACGGAAACGCACTACACCTGGATTGGAACGCACACTGCCGAGACAGGGGAGAAGGTGGGGGTCCCCGTCTGGCATAGCCGCCCCCGGTCCATCTCCCACGCCCGACTGTGCTGCCTTCCCCAGCCAGCATGTATGGAATGCACAACTAGGTCAAGTTTCTAAAGCTGCCAACCTCCCTCTCCTCCGGGCCCGTGCACTTTCTGTTTTCCACTAGTCTGATCAGCTGGCCTCTGTCTCTGTCCCCTTCATTGATTTAGAGGAATTGTAGCACACGTAGAAACCTCTACCAAATTCAATCAGCAAGCCTTGTGATAATCAACAGAGCCTGTCCTTCCTGAACGCTGACAGGTCTCCGCTGAGAAGAGCTGTCCTCCGAAAAAAAATGGCCTTAGACGTTAGTACTGCCTTATAAGGAGGCGCCTGTGCCATTACCCAGATGGAGCATCCTGTGTTCGCGCCTCTCAGCAAGTCCCTATTATCTACGTCCTTCGAGTGCACCCCGTGCCCTTTTGGAGACAACCATCCCCCACAGTTCCCAGGGAAGCAGGACCATCATACTGCCCCTCCTTCCTCAATCTCAGGCCACAAACCGAGTCTTCCCAAGGCTCTCAGTGAAGTAAGAGCAGGGGAGGTTGGAAGTGGGCTCTCAGAATGAGGACTAGGGAAAGAGTAGTGGACTAGATCTGTTAACTGATCCCTCCTCCTCCCTATTTCTCAGAAAAGCCCCCATCATTCAGCTCTGCTCTGTTTTCCTGTATAAACTCAGTTCAGCCCTGTGCTGTCTCTAGACCTCAGTTTCCCCATATGTCAGGTGAAGTGGCTAGATTTAGACTCTGCCCACCACGACCTCCTTCTGGGAGTCCACGGCAGGATAATAGACGTGTCCACAGTGTGCACGACCCATCCTGTGCCCATAGCAGACATGACTAATCAAACTTTGCACTCTCTCCTATTGATTCCACCCACCCACGGCATCAGAGTCCTTGCCAGTGACACCCGTTAGGGTGACATCAGCCATTAGCCAGATCCAGGCTCAAGATCAGATCACTTCAGATCAGACAAACCCAGCTCCCCAAACCAGGTGTGAATGGAGCTGCTAGAAATCACTCTGTATTTTGGGGGTCCTCCTGACAGCAGCCCAGGTCAGGGAGTTGGAGTTGGCGGTGGCCACAGGCAGCACTACAGTTTTGGCCCAAGCCCGACGTTAGGTCCCTCCCCAGCAGCCCCCCACCCATGGGCTGCCTCCCCACCCAGGCTCCCCATCCCCTCCCTTGCTATTAAAAAAAGAAAAGACATGGCACTGTATTCTGGGAACCTAATTATAGATCTGATACAAGGGGTCCTTTCTTTTTTTTTTTTAAGATTTTATTTATATTTATTTGAGAGAGAGAGAATGAGAGGTAGAGAGCATGAGAGGGAAGAGGTTCAGAGGGAGAAGCAGACTCCCCGCTGAGCAGGGAGCCCGATGCGGGACTCGATCCCGGGACTCCAGGATCATGACCTGAGTGAGCCGAAGGCAGTCACTTAACCAACTGAGCCACCCAGGCGCCCCACAAGGGGTCCTTTCTAACCACAAGAGCTCCATCATCAGACATATCCAAACAGAGGGTCGGGTCAGTGAGTCTGTCAGGGGGCTGCAGAGGGGACTTTGGCCCTGAAAGTGGCGGGACCAGTGGCCCAGAGGTCCTGCCCAGCCAGGAGCTGTTGAGACAAAGCCCCAAGAGCAGGATCTTTGCACTCCCGGACAGGACCCCCCACCTTTCAGGGACCACTGAACACCTGGGCAGTAGCAGGACAGAGGGGTGGTGGTGTTAGGACGCTGCAGGTGCAGGGGGAGCTCAGAGAAGGGTGCAGCTGTGGGAGCCCAAGGCCCAGCCTATCAGCTGCTGCCTGCTGGCAGTGTAGGGCGGGTAGTAGAGTTCATTGAGCTTCTCCAGGCCGGAGGGAGAGAGCAGACTGGCACGGTGATGGGAGAAGGTGTCGAAGGAGAACTTGCCACGGTATCTTCCCATGCCACTGTTACCTGCATGGGCACGGAGGTGAGGGCCTGAGGCAGGCAGCCCAGCCAGCCTTCGCAGCAGCTCACTGCCCAGGCGGGAGCCCACAGCTGGCGCGGTGCTCAGGGAAAGCCAAGCCACTCTAAAAGCCATTTTGCAGATAGGTAAACTGAGGCCTTTAGAGGCCCAGGGCCTGGATCAAGGTAGAACAGAGGGTGAAGGCAAAACTGGGCCCTTCCAGGATGGCAGTACCAACCCCGGGGGTGGGGGCTGGAGAGTGGAGGAGGGCAGGGCTCACCGACTCCCCCCAGCGGCAGGGACGGCAGAATCAGGTGAACGAAGCCCTGGTTGCCTCCAAAAATGCCGCTGCTGGTCCGATCCAGCATCTGGGTCACTACCTGGGGGGAGGTGGGAGAGGCCTGGTGGTGGGCTGGTCATCAGTAAAGAGAACTTGGGTCCCCAACCATTCCATGGGAAGCAGAGGAGCCTCCCCTGTTCCCATCCTCTACTGAGATGTCTCCCCTGTGAGCACTTTCCACACAGAGGGGAGCCCGTGGCAGGAAGGGGAGACAGCACCAGCAGGGCACAGGCCCCACCGTGGCCAGCCTGGCTCTGCCTGTCGGGTCCTGGCTTGGCTCTGCCCCCTCCCCCCTCCGGGGCATCTGCTTGCCCATACAGGGCCTTTGCTTGGTTTAGGAAGACCGGGCTCTCTGGGTGGAAAAAGGCACCTTTTCTCTTGGTGGAAGCTGCCACAGCCACACATCTGACAGTCTTTTGGCCTTGCCCAAGCCCCCTCTGGCAGGAGTCCTTGTTCAGGGAACCGCTGTCTGGATGATGTTGCCCTAACCCTCCCACCGTGGGCTGTCAAAGGGAAGGTCACAGGTCTGCACCTTTTTCAGCCCCTCTCTTGTCCCAGCCCTGCCAGAGCACCCCCACCTGATTGCTGTTGGAGAAGGCATACAGGGCCAGGGGCTTCTCCCGACGGTTGATGAAGTCGATGGCCTCGTCCAGGCTCCTCACGTTCACGATGGGCAGGATGGGGCCGAAGATCTCCTCCTGCATCACCGGCTCGGTCTCCTGCACGTCCACCAGCACCGTGGGGGCTGCGGGCACAGGGGACGGCTCAGCCCTGGGGCCGGGCAGGGCAGGGGGGGCACGGGCAGGGCTCAGGGGCCTTCTGGGGAAGGGAGCATCCCCGCAGCCCCCGGGAAGGCCGGTGAGGGCTTCTCCGGCCCCGGCGGGGGCCGAGGTGGAGCGGAGGTCAGGGAGGCAGGGGCCCAGCCTGGGCTCGGCGGTCCAGCTCAGGGAGCCTCGGGGCGGGGCGCCGAGGGGGCGGGGGCGGGGCGCCGAGGGGGCGGGGCCCAGGCTCGCGGCCCAGGCGGGCCCCGCGTCCCGGAAGGGCCTTGGCAGGGCGGCCACGGTGGCGGCAGGGCGGACTCACCGATGTAGCGGTCGCTCTCGTCGCTCTGGCCGCCGATGACCACGCGGCCGCAGCCCAGCAGGCCCCGGAGCCGCCGGAAGTGCTTCTCGCTGATGATGCGGCCCAGGCTCGGGGAGCTCCGGGGGTCCTCGCCGTAGAAGCGGGTGATGGCCCTCTGCAGGGCGGGCAGCAGCCGCTCCTGCGTGTCCGGGCTGCACAGGACGTAGTCGGGGGCCACGCAGGTCTGGCCGCTGTTGAAGTAGCGGAACCAGGCCACGCGGTTGGCCACGGTCTGGGGGTCGCAGTCGTCGTCCACGTAGCAGGGGTTCTTGCCCCCCAGCTCCAGCGTGACGGGTGTCAGGTGCTTGGCGGCGGCAGCCATGACGATCCTGCCCACTCGGGGGTTCCCTGGGGTATGGGAGTTGACTGCCCATGTTCAACCAGCCCTGGTGGGATGGTCCAGGCACCACCTCTTCTGGCCCATTGTACGTTGTCTGCCGGGATCTGTCCCAGGCCCTGCTGCCCCAGCATTCCACCCTCTAAGGCCCAGGGGCTGACTGCCATCTGGGATGCTCACCACTGCTGGTCACCAGCTCCTCTCTCCACAGCCTCCCCCCCCCCGCCCCAACACACACCCTGGTTGAAGCGACTCTCACCAGTGAAGAAGACATAGTCGAACTTGTGCTCCAGCAGCTGCCGGGTTTCCTGGGGCCCTCCCAGGACCACGGCAAAGCAGCTCTGCAAGGCGGGGCAGGTGGTTCAAGGGACACTGCAGGCCCAGGGGACAGCTGGCCCTCCCCAGCTGACAGGGGTGGGGGGGTGGGGGACGCTGGGGGCTCATGGGGTGGGGCCATCCTCACCTGGTCCAAGTATTGGGGCAGGACCTTAGCCAGGACCTTCTCTGTGCCCTTACTTAATTCTGATGGCTTCAGCACCACGCAGTTCCCTGCAGGGACAGATGGGGATGTCATGGGGGAGATGCCAGTGCCCCCACACACACCCAGGGCAGAGATGCAAGGAACGTGCCAGAGACTGGGGATACCACATAAATGGAATTCTGGGGGCCCCTTTTGGGAAGGGCTATTGGGCATGGGACTCAGAACTCTCTCCTCACCTGCAGCAAGGGCACCCACTAGCGGCACCAGGGTCAGGTACACAGGGTAGTTCCAGGGGGCAATGATGAGCACGAGGCCCAAGGGCTCCTTCCGGACGAAGACCGAGTCCAGCTTCACCAACTGTAGTGCAGGACGCGTGGTAAGGCGTGGCAGGGGAATCACCCCAAAGCTGCCCCCCAGGGTCCTCGAGGGGAGGACTGGAGTCCTCATGAGGAAATGGGTCCCAAGGAAGTCAGAGACTGGCGGTGGGTCGGAGGTGGTGAAGAGGCCTGGGCTGGAGCTGCTGCTGGGCCCTGCCCCCACCCCCGGCAGCCGCTCACCAGGCTCTTGGCCACGGGCTCATCCTTCATCCAAGTGTGTAGGTTCTTGAGCGCCAGGTCAACCTCGTTCTGGCATATGATGAGCTCAGACAGCTCTGCCTCAAAGACTGACTGCAGCGGAGAGAGAATTCAGGGGTCAGGCCTGGGCCCCGGCAGGGAGGGGATCTAGTGCTTGGGATCCCCAAGAGTCCCAGCCCCGGGGTTATGGAGACAGCCTCCAGAGGTAGCACAGCCGGGCCCCTGGGAACAGCACAGTGAGCAGTGCGGAGGGCCCCAGGACAGGTGACCTGGGCTCCGGCTCCTGCTCTGCCACTTCCTAGCTGCGGGACCTCGGGCAAGTGTCTTAACCCCCATGCACCTCAGTTTCCCCCTCAGTAACATGGGGGCCGTGCCTCACAGGTTTGGATGGGTTAAGGCTGGCACACACTGCATGCCAGGGAAGTCCTGTGAAATAAACAGGAATGAATTAGGGGCACCCCCAGGGGCTGGGGTTTGCCGGGTGCTTAGTGCCCCCCTCAGGGAGGAAGCTGTGGCCCCCATTCCGCGTGTCCCCCCCAGCCCCGCCTCCCCAGCCCCCCCCCACCCCCCCCCCCCCCCCCCGCCTCCCCAGCCCCCTCAGCTCCGCCCACCTTGTGCAGGTCCTGCAACAGCGCCTCCTGCAGAAGCTGCTTGTTGTCCCGCAGGAAGCGGCCCAGGCCCTTGAGCTGCTCCGCCCGGAACTCAGCTGGCCTCGTCCGCCCTGAGCCGAAGGCCTCCCGCAGCCGCCGCAGGGTGTCCGCGAAGGGGTCCATCCTGCAGGGAGAGGGCAGCGTGGGCCGGGGCTCTCCACCTTCATGGGCATTCTCCCCCGCGCCCCTGGCTGTACCGCTATGGGCTCACGGACACTGCTACAAGGACTCGCGTGTAAACCCAGAGTGTAACCCCAGAGTGCCGGGGGACAGCTGGCCCTGCACCCCTCCAACACATGGGTCCCTGCCATTTCCTTCTGAGCACTTCCTGGAGGAGGAGGCCTGAGTGGGCCACTGGCACCACCCATCCTCAGCCCCAGAGTTGACCCGGAGCACCTGGAGCACTGCCCTGAAGCTCTGCCTGGAAGGCCAGCATCACCCTCCTTCATCCAGCTCTCCCTGCCTGGGGTTCAAACAGCTCCCGGTCCTATCAGCCCTGCTCTAACTTTGTCCGTGGCTCCCTAGTACCTCTCTAGGGCCAAAGGCCTCAGCCCTGAATAAGGCCCAGAATGGAAGAGTCTGGGATGAGTTATGGCACCCAGGTGTCCTGATGTCCATCCCAAGACCCTGGCCCCAGCTCAGTCATACCTTTCCCAGGTGAGGTGTGTCCTCAGTGTGCACACACTGGTAGTGTCTGGGGACAACCTCAGACTCAGCTTTTCCACGGCCAGATCCCCAGGCCCAGCCCCACTCTTACCCAATAAAAGGGAAAGCAGAGCTGGGCGGGGGCGTGCCCAGAGGGGATGGAGCTGGCCAGCTGGTTCCTGCTTCTCATCCAAGGTGCCTCCTTGCCTGCCCACTGCAGGTGAGCAAAGACCCAGGGCTTGCTGATCTGGTTGTTTACCAGGGCAGGCTTCAGCTGGGCCTGGGCCATGTAGGTGACATGGCCAACTTGGCCAGTCGCCCCCGGACCTCGCGGTCTAAACATGGAGGAACAATGACACTGAAAACAATTCACAAACGGATCGGTGGGTCACAGGCTCTTCGAGGTCAGTGAGGACCCCACCAGCAGGCTCCAGCTGCGGCGGGAGAGGGGCAGGGGCAGGCTCTTGGAGGGCCGGGGTTCTGGACAGAGGGACTGGCATGTAGCCAGGTTTTGAGAAACGAGGCACAGCTAGGCAGAGCTTTCACACAGGGCACTGGGGCTCAGTCCGTGGGCGGTGGGCACGCCAGGGAGCATAGGCTAGACAGGAAACCCAGCTGGTCTGATTATTACCCCCGGTGCTGGGGGAGGGGACCTGATTTACCCTCCTCGGGGCTGCTGTATGGTGGCTTGGGTCCCAGTCCATGTGGCCCACAGCTGCTCGCCCCACCAGCGGTGAGCCCTGCACCAGTGTGTGTACCCTGTGCTTCTTTAAGTGACTTGCTAGCGTCTTTCTCTAGCTTCCAGAGGTTCCACAGTGAGACTGCAATACTTTCAGAAGCAGAAAATAGTAAGTGTCTCTTTTACAACCATAAACCAAAGACTCAGCTCCGGCTTTGCCTCCCAAGCAGCTCCCCCTTTTCCTCTCCCGACTCCCCAGCCGTCCCCATCACAGCCCTGGTGACATCTGGCTGGTCCTAGTCTGTCCACATGCTGCCTCCTCCCCCAGCCTAGGAGCTCCTTGAGAGAGGATGGGGTCTGTCCCCACCCCCACCCCCAGGCCCAGAGGGAGGGTTCCTCCAAGGGTGCTCCCAGGATCTGTGTGTCACAAGTGGAATGTGAAATCCAGGCACATCCAGAGTAGGGCAGTGCCTACCTCCCTGAGCAGAGGCAGCCCCCGGTGCCTGGCTCCTGGCCCTGCGCCCCCCCTGCCCATTTCACTCCGGAGACTCCCGGGCCCCACAAACCCCGAGTGTGGGCTCAGACCCTGGATCCCTTGCTGCACCTTTTGCCTTCTTTGCCTGACATTCTGCTTCCAGAGGCACTGACTCTGCTCCTATCCCCCGTCTCACTGCCAGTCCCCCCGGCGCCCACCAGACCCCCAGGCCCATGCCTGGCAGTGGAGTGGCCCTGGGGGGGGCGACTTAGCAGAAGCTGCCTCCTACTTCAAGGCTCTAAAACATTCCCCAGGCGGGGCCAGGGGTTGGCTGCAGCCGGATAGAGAACAGGCCTGGGAATTCCAGGCTGTTCTGGATGTGCTGACAGGGGCTGGCAGGGAGTTATCTGAGGAGAAAAATCCCCAGGGGGTTACACGATAAAATATCAGTGGGATCCTGGCAGCAAATGCTGCCTTGTCCAGGAAGCCCTCAGCCAGCAGAGTTTTATGGCCCACCCAGGTCCCTGCACCAACTCTTCATGTCCACCACCCCCTCCATCTGCACACCACAAGGGGTCCTTTATTTCCCCTCTCTGAATATGTCCGACAGACATCCTCGGGGCAGAGGAAGGGGCCATTGCCACTGCAGAGAGCCTGGGTGCGTGGGGCACCTGCAGGGCCCATTTCTTCTCTCATTTGCGGCAGGACCCTGGGCAAGTTACTTAACCTCTCTGAGCCTCTCCGGGTAACAACAGTGAGCGACACAGTCCTTGAGAGGGATCACGCAGGAAGATACAAGAATAGACAAGATGGGTCACTGCTCCTAAATGTTGGCTACCGATATTTCCTCCGGTCCTTGTTGAGCACACAGTAAGTCCTGGGAAGCAGAAGCCCGAGCCCAGGCGCTGTCGCCATCTCTCACCAGTTGTCTGACCCCGTCCCTCCACCAGCCCTGAGTTCTGTCGGGTCTGACCAAGGCCGCCGGCTGCGGCGGGCTGTGGGCAGAGCGTGGGCGAACCCACCGGGTGTCCTGAGATCATCCTTGGCTGTGACTGGAGTCAGCTGAGCAGGAGCCGCCACCACCCACAGCCCCCAGGCCTGAGTCTGGGCCCGATCCCGAGATGGCAGTGTGCTGTTAGGACACTGGGAAGGGAGCTTCAGGGCTGGCAAGGCCCATCTAAGAGCAGAGGGTGGGGGTGGCAGCTGAGGAGGCCTCCCGCCCCCCAACCATTGGGTGATACGCACTTCAGATGGCTGAATTGTACCTTAACGAAACGAAACGGAACCAAGAAGCCCGAATAGCTCCACCTCCGTGGGGACTGGCAAAACGTAAAAGAAGACCGTTGTAAGCCGTCTTTGCTGCCCTACTTTACCAGTTTCCCGCGGCTGCTCTAACAAAGGGCCACAGACGTGGTGGCTGAGGACAGCAGAAATGTATTGTCTCAGGGCTCTGGAGGCCAGAAGTCCCAAATCAGGGTCATGCTTCCTCCCGCAGTTCCAGGGCAGAGTCCTTCCCCGCCAGACATCCGCAGCTGGGAGGGAAGAGTGTCCATTCCGGGCAGACGGGATACCAGTGAAAACCCCCCAGGACAAGAGGAAGCCCCACGCACCCGCACATCGGTGACACAGAGCAGGGGGAGGGCGGGGGGACAGGCCCAGCACATCCTTGGATGGGTACAGCCACGGGAAGGCAGACGCTTAACTCCCTGAGCCACCCAGGCGCCCCTAGATGATTCTCTCCAGGAGTTCTGCTCCTATAAGGAAGCCAAGAATGGGTGGTGGCTGAGGGGTGGGTTGGGTTGAGCGTGGGCGGATCCAGGGGGTACATATGGGTGTTTACGGGGATGAACCAGGTGGGGAGCCCTTGTCGGCGGAAGGTAGAGGGGCAGGGCATGCGGATGTGGGGTGAGGGCTCACAGAGTTGGGGGCGGAGAATGAGGGACGGATTTCCTCTGGGGATTTCTGGGTTTTCCATGATGTAACAGCAGCCAGAGTGGGAGAGGGAGGCAGTTGGGCGTGACAAATCTGAGGACAGAACAGCGGCTCTGGTTGAGGCCTTGGAGGTTTGGCTCTGACCTTCCATTGAGATTTGACAGACTCCTGTGGACTGAATGGTGTTCCTCCAAAATCCGTATGGTGGATATTTAGAGAGTGCTCCCTTTTTGGTGATTACAAACATTGCCGTGAGTAACATCAGATATATGTCTCTTGGAGTTTCTCTTCGGTGTGTATCTGGCTGTTAAGATGTGTAGGTGGTATGTTCATCTTCAACTTTTCCAGTATTGCTACACATGGTCTGGATGTTGCCTCCAAAGAGATTGACTAATTGAAATTTCCCCTAACACTGTATGGCAGTTCCCCTTGCCCCATATCCTCCACAACATTTGGTATTCTCAGACTTTTTGCTTTTTGTCAGTGAGTGTAGTGGGTTGAACGGTGCCCGCCCCCCGCCCCCCACAAAGACACGTCCATGCCCTAACCCTGGGAGTCTGTGAATGAGATCTTCTGTGGGAAGAGGATCTTTACTGATGTAATTAAGTTAAGGATCTCGAGATAAGATCATCCTGGATTAGCCAGGGGAGCCCTAAATCCTATGATGAGTGTTCTCGTCAGAGAAAGAGATTTGAGATAGAAGAGGAGGTGGCCACGGGCCATGAGCCAAGGAGCCCCTGGAGCCCCCAGAAGTTGGAAGAGGTAAGGCAGGACCCTCCCCTAGAGGCGCTGGAGAGAGCGTGGTCCTGTCATACCTGATTTCAGACTTCTGACCTCCAGACTGTGAGAGAATGAATATCTGGTTTCTAAACCACCAAGTTTGTGTAATTTGTCACCGCAGTCCTAGGAAACCGACACAATGTGTATGTAACAGCATCTTACAATTGTTGTAATTTATATTTTACCAGTTACTGCTGAGGTTGAGCATAGTCTTATTTGCTTATGGGCTCTTCGGGCTTCTTATCAGTTCTTTCTTTCTTTTCTTTTCTTTTTTTTTTGCGTGGTTTTCTACTGTGTTATTTTTCTTTTGTCTTATTGGTTTGTAGGAATTCTGTATATTCACAACAGTAACCCTTTGCTGTGTATCTGGTTTTTTTTGGTAACGAATAAACTTTATTTTCTAGAACTGTCTAGGTTCACAGCAAAATGGAGTGAAAAATACACATAGTTCCTGTATACCCCTTTGTCCCCCCCACATGTACTCAACATCCCTCATCAGAGTGGCACAGGCGTTAAAATCAGTGAATCTACACTGACACATCATCATTCCCCAGAGTCTACAGTTACACTAGGCTTCCCACTCAGTTTTAGGCATTCTATGTGTTTTGACAAATGCATAATAACATGTACCCACCATTGTAATATCATAAAGAATAACTTCACTTTCCTAAAATCCTCTGTGCTCCACCTGTTTGTCACTCTTTCACTCCAAACCCCTGACAACCACTTATTTTATTTTATTTTATTTTATTTTATTTTATTTTATTTTATTTTTTACTGTTTCCATAGTTATTCCTTTTCTGGAATTCCACATGGCTGGAATCACACAGTATGCAGCCTTTCAGATTGGCATCTTTCACTTACTCATATGCATTTAAGTTTCCTCCATGTCTTTTCATGGCTTGATAGCTCATTTCTTTTTAGCCCTGAATAATATTCCATTGTCTGGGTGGACCATAGTTTATTTATCGTATGGATAGAACTTATGGAAGGACATCTTGGCTGCTTTCAAGTTTTGGAAATTATGAATAAAACTGCTATACACATCCATGTGAAGGTTTTTGTGTGGACACAAGTTTTCAACTCCTTTGGGTAAATACCAAATATTTCACTTGACTTTTTTCTTGCTTACATGGTTTCTGAGAGTTCAGATATAATTTTTATTTTTGTTCCTCTATAGATCAGTATAGATAAGGTATCCCCCCTCTGATT